TATTTATATATAAGATACTTCATTGTTTGTCACACAATTCTTAACGGGAAAATACCTAAATACATACCAGTTTGTAAACAAAGAGACTTCAGTATAGTCATACAATGCATATACTATTGTACTATAAAAAGAGAAAGACTACTGAAACTATCGACAATATAATCTAAAGAGAGATAGATATCTATGATGTGGAAAAGTCACAGTTAATTTTGCCCAGGTAATAGAAGCCAGTACAAGCTTGAGAGTGAGTGTTTCTCTGCTCTTTGAAGGACCACATAGCCTGGAATCCTGAAGAAGAAAAAGATTTAAAATATCTTGATTCACAACTATTTTTATTATCTCAATATAATATTCTACTACTGCTAAGCAAAGAACTAAATATGAGAAGTTAAGCTGACCTCAGAGCTGATATAAATTGATGGCTTTTCTTTGTCTTATTTTTTCTATTTTCTAGGAATATACATTAAAAATTCTACTGCATGGATCGAAAACCTTCAAGGTTTAGATGGTACAAAGCTACATAATACTTGGAAACTGTTAGCTTGCCTTACATAATATATGGATGACTTTTAGTTTACCACTTTGACTATTTTCTTTTACAAAACTTTTGTAAGGGCATTGAAAAAAGTTCTTAAAATAGATCAAAGTAGAAGAGTCTTCATCAATTGAATCATATTCAGTACTTGAAATAGTAACTTCTCTCTTAAATTGAAAGAGACAGTCATGTTTTGTGACGTAAGTGGGATCAGATATGTCTAGAGTTCCCATCTTGATGTCTTATTGATTTAGATTTTTGTAGTCTTGCTAATTCAGGAGGAGCTAAATCATATGACGATCGCACATGAGCCGATTTGTGCCACATAAAAGACATCCAGGAAAAAATAATGATTAAGCACAGAATTTGTGTTATTTGAATAAACTTTCTAACATGGGTGGATATATTGTTAATTATTTACTTAGTAAGTAGAGTTTTGCCTATAATTAGATATAGATGCTATATAGTTCAGGGAGATAACTTTATAATAATTTTATAATTATATAAATTATAATTTATATGTTTTTATATTATATGTTTATAATATATAAACATATATAATTATATATATTATAATTATAGTGATTTTATTAAACAAGCTTAATATTAAATTATAGTTTCATACTACCAGTTTTTCAGAATAATTTGTAATCTATTATCAGTGTCTAAATTTAACAATTTCCCACAATTTCATATATTATTTGATCAAATTCTAGCCTTCATACTGTAAATACACATATTTTTGAGAAAGGAACACCCAGTAGATCCAAATATAGCTCTGATTTCTTTCTATATTTTAACATTAGACTATAAACTTGATTTAAAATCTGACCTTCCAAATCCACTATTTCATTTTTTATTTCTCTTTTCCTGGCTACCCTACCCCTGTTGAAAACTTTCAGTGGATCATGCTCCTGTCTCATAGGTATTACACAATTAGAGGGGTTTACAGACTTGAAAATGGAATATATGGGGTCTATTCTATTGTGAATTACCACATATACATGGAAAAGGCGGGAAGGAGTATATATGGTTCATTTTAATTTAATTGGACTGCAGCCTTATGATTGTTCTTGATGATTTTATCATGGTGTGTGTGTGTGTGTGTGTGTGTGTGT